GTGTTGGTTGGAACCCCCCTCTCCCCCATCTTTCCCTGGCATGGTTAGGAGGCCGCTGCCTCTGCAGGCTGTGCTACCACAAGCTGGCAGTCAGTATAGCTGCGGGCTCCTGACTTTGTGGGCACGGATCCCCAGTCCAGATACCCCCCCTTCCCCCGGGCCAGCTACCTACCACTGTGCTAGTGCTCACAGTAGGGCCCCTGTGGGGCCACTTATGGTCCTTCTTACTGTCTACTGGGCAAGATGACTGTTTTCAACAAAAATATGAGATGGCAGAACTCCTCTTCCTAAATCTGAGTAGAAAATTAACATCATGTCACATAGGATGATCCTAGGGCATGAGTATAGCGTCTCCCATATGAATCACTTTACACCAAGTCCATTTTTGTCCTTGGATCAAGAGCTTAACTGGACAGCTGGCAGCCCTCTCTGTGTGTTGGCAGGGTCCCATCTCAGACTAACAGCTAGAGGATGGAGCACTGTGTGCACAGCTTAAGCCCAGTTTCTCAGTGTTCCCAGAAACGCATAAGCCTGATACAAAGTTTGATATGGAGGTATGCTTCCAGGGAACCATGGGGTTACGGGGTGTACATCAGAGGAGAGAGGGAGAGGCAGTACAAGGCTGTGTTACAGAGTTCGCTATTCCTCCAAGGGTCTGTTTGCTTGTTCTGGGACCATTTGACAAGTGACCTAAAATATAGCTCAGAACTGCCTTCAGAAGAAAGAAGGGAGGAAGCATCTGCCTACGGGCTCCAGTCTCCTATTGGTCAGTGGCGGCTCCCCGACATTTCTGGGTGGCACACAGATGAGTGCTAAGGGGGTTCCTGTGGGCATCTCAGAGGACAGCATCAGAAACTATGGGGCAAGAAACGAGAGGTGCAGAGCCTGTCTGAGGGTTGTTCTCACCCTGGGCTGCCCCCGCGTGAAACCTGCAGACCTGCTTGGAAGTGGTCACCACAGCCACACATAGGGGGTGAGAGGTGAGGCTGAGAATATTCAAAGCGATACAGCAGGCATCTGACTTACCTGGTCGTGTAGCATCTGCTTTGCCCGATCTTGTACATCAACTGACAAGGTGCTCCCTCCTCCCCCTGCCTCGCTCTGACTGGAGGGAAGCATGAAAGCTAAAATCCTCAGCATGCTTTTCTGCAAGTTGCTCTAGGCCATTCACCCTCCCATAGAGGTTTCTTATAATGTCATTTTATTTCCCAGGAGATAGACATGGATGATTGACCAGTTTTCTGAGTGAGTGCAGACCATCTGGAGGGATGAGCCGCTTCATCCTCTCTGAGGCTTCTTTACATCTTCTAGGTGGCAAAACATGATTCACCATCAACCACTGATGATAATGCTCATTTTAGCTCCTTGTGTCTTGTAATCAGAGTTAACTCCTTCCAGACTCGCTCAGTGGCTTGGTGGCCAAGGTTCTAGCATTTACTATGTATTTGTAGGTATTTTAGAGGAGAGCAAGGTGAGATGGAGTAAGCTGTGATCATAACCTGGAATGAGGATGGCTTCTTCCCCCTGCCCTGCCCACCCCATAGGGGGATGAATTCACCTTCTACTGAGGCACATAGAGCTGTTAGGGTCCTCATCATTCAAAAGGAGATGTGAGTCCTCTTCCTGGCTCGGCCGGCTCTTAAACCCTGGTTCCAAATTCAACCAGCAACTGAGACAGCTGCTTTGCTCGTTGTTGTCTGGGATAGAAGTCTCCAGCTCGCAGACACTCAGAGAGGAGAGCAGTGTGATGCTCAAGCCGTGTAATACCTAAGATTCTGCAAACCTGCACCTTGCAGAGAACCGCGTGTGGGCCCCTTCATTTTGGTCCTCCAGTAAAGAGATTTCACCGAGTTGTTCTATGGCACGACGCCATCCGCCTCAGGGAGGGAAATGTGTTGCATTCTGCTAAGGATGTTGTTGGAAGCCATTCGTTATTAAGGGGGTCCATGGAAAAAATAATTTCCAGCCCCTGTAGCAGAAATACTTTTATTTATGCTGAGCAACTGGTTCATTTTTCCCTTTTGGACACTGAGTTGACTGCCTGTGTCCTCCTTCTTGGGTAGACGGGCAGTGCCAAGTTTTTGAAGCTGTTGATCCAGGTGTGTGGCAAATCTTTTGGGTATGATTTCAATCTTGGCATCATCTTATCTATCGTGCTTTCACTTTTCTATGTTCTGCTGTCCCCACCTTTTTATAGAATTCGTTTTTCTATGTATGAAAGTAATGTAAATTTTAGAAAATACAGAAAATCATAGAGAAAAAAAATTACCCATGTTCCCTAGGATGAGAGATAATCATTGTTAATAACTGATGTAGTCTTTCATTCATTTATATACTCATTTTCTCTATCTATGCATCTGTATCTCTCTGTATGTCTCTCTATCCAGCCATATACTCCAGATGTCCTTGAATAACTAGTTCAACTTCCTTCCAAGGCCTAATCCATGGATTGTGAAAACTGAAATCCACCTCAGATTCTGATTTCTGTCAGTTACATTCCTCTGCTCTTCTCTGTCTCCAGATTTTCAGTTTATGGGTGTCATCTCTCTGTGGGTGCCGTATCCCACCTACATGTCATTGGAGATTTCAGGTTCAGTCCCTTTGCTAGAATTCAGGACAAAGCTACTTAGGTCAAATCCTTGTGGAGTCTAGTTGCGTTTCCTAAAGATTAAGTAGTCAGAATTTTTCTAAAATTAACCAAGAGTGGTTTCCTTAACTCTATCTTGCCAGCTTCTTTTGTGTTTCTCCTGGTTCCTTTCTCCTTACCCACCCCTGCCCCAAGCCCTGCCAAAGAAAATCAAATCCCCCTTCTTGCCTATTGCATGGCATGTTGTGACCTCATGCCATGTCCTCAAGGGTCTGAGGGCTTCTATGTCCCGGAGTTCTGACCGGAGGCTTGAACCCTTGGAATTAGAGGAAGATCTTAAGCCAAACTGGAGGTCCCCATCAGAGTCCAAGCAAGGTGCTCTGAGATTTGATATGGACCCACACTCCAGGTCTAGCCAGACAGGAGGGCCTGGCCAGGTCTCCAACAGATATGTAAAGAGAATTGTGTCACTCTGGCCCATCTCCAGGATTGGCACACATGGGGTAGGTGTCCCTCACTGTTAATGGGGGCCCAAAAGCATACTGCCATGGAAGCATACTGCAGGGCATGCATGGTGTGAAGTGAAAAGAAGCCTGTCTCAGAACTTATATATATATATATATATATATATATACACACACACACACATATACACACACACACATATATATGCCATTTATATAGAAAATTTATGTATATTTATATATGTATAGAAAGGTCTGCAGTAGCACAAAATATTAACAAGTACCTTTGAAAGTGGTGACTTTTACTTCATGCCTCAAAAAACTTTACTTTGAATTCTTTCAAGTGAGTATATGCTACTTTTATAATAACTCTTTAAAAGGTATTTCCATTTTGGGAGGGAAATGATACACCCCGAAGTATTTTTATTAGGAGATACGTGAGATTTTTTTTCTTCTAATTTTCTCAATATCAACTATCACATTTGTGGCAAAAGAATAAATATAGCAGGCAGAATAAATGAGATTACCATGACCAAGGACAAAGGGGCAAGGATTACTAGCTGGCTGGCCACCGGGTTCCCCTCTTAGGACCTGAGTTGGGAAGCGTGCGTTCTCCAGGCTCTTGGCTTGCCAGGGGTGGATACTACATCTAGGTCTCTTACGTTGGAGAGCACTGCCAGGGTTCCTAAGGCTGAACGAGAACAAAGTGAACCAGGGCTCTGGCCCTATGGCTCATGCTTCCAGCTTGTACTTATACCTGGATATGTACAAAGAACTGGGAAGCCAGTCAATTCCAAGGAGTTGGTTCCAGCTGTTTCTTCTGCTTACCTGTAAAGCAGAGACCATTGCATCATGTGCATCAGAGATTGGCAGCCTCATACCCTAGTTTGGGAACTGGTTTGTCTCCTTGTCCCTTATCTGTCCCCTTCTAAGAGCATTTGGAAGAGTGCTTGCATAACTTCAGCATGCATTACAATCACCTGGGGCACTTGTTAAGCATGCAGGTTCCTGGGACCCATCCTGGACCTACTCAATCAGATTCTGCATGTTTAGAAGCTTCTCAGGTGAACTGATGTGGTTGGTCTGTGGACCACGCTCTGAGATGACAGGTTTAAAGTCTGCATCTGGCACCAGTGGTTTGGTACCTAATCTCAGCATTTATTGCAACATTGAGAAGTGAGGTCTTTGTCAAGAGATGGAGTGTCTTCCCCTGACTCTTGATTCTGAGTATGCTGTGCAACCAGCTTTGTCCAATGGGATGTTGCAGACATGACTCAGAACAACTTATGTGATCAGACTTTCTCATGTTCCTGCTATCACCAGGAGAAGCGTATGCCCAGGCTAGCTTGCTGGTCCCAGGAGGAGGGTAAGAGACACATGGAACATGGCTGTACCAGCCAAGATGTCCTAGGCAAGCCTGGCCTGGAGCAGAGTCCTTAGCCAACACATGAGTGGACCAGCTGAGATTAGCTGAGCTCGGCCTAGCTCAAGCCCCAGCTGACCACCATGAAAGACTGTTGTTTAAAGTTACTGAATTTTGGGTGGTATGTTACACAGTAATAGCTAGCTGATACATCCAGGCAGTTTGTTAATATGCAGATCCTGAAACTGTGATTCTGTAGGGTCTTAAAAATTTGTCTGTTTAACAAAATTCTGGTGTGATTCTGATGCCAGCACTCTGTGGACCCCACCTGAGAAAAACTTTTGAGACCCAACCCTTTTACAGGTGCAATATGAAATCAGGAAATATCCCTGAATATCTATGAACCTCAACTATTCTCATCTGCAAAGAGGGGATAATTCATATTTCCTGCACCAAAGATGTGAGGATTAAACGAAGAAATCTAGTCAGTAACACGCTTTTCTTCTCCTCCTTCTGCAACTTGTCTCCACCTCACCCTACCCCACCTCAGGAAGACACCAGTGAGAATATCTTAGGAAAACATGAATCTCAGGGTCACAGCTTTATTGTATAGATTTTTAACACAGCCATATTACAAACATTGTCGGGGAACATTTACAAGAATAAATAAGATGGACTTGCAGGTGTAAAAAGATTACACTTCACTGTAATGTACAGTCAAAAAATATATCTGATATTCACTGACCTGACATTATCTACCTTCTGCTTTTTGAAGCTAGAATTGGAAAGGAAAAAAAAAAAAAAAAGAACATTGACAGCACAGTGCTGGCTTTTTTAAAAAGTTGATTTATTTTGTTTTCTCTTCTCATACGTGCTTTATCTATCAAACACCCAAACTGTACAAGTGCAGGCCATTGGGACTCGTGGAGGAGGCTGCTAACAGTGTGGAGACTTTGGTCTCATGCAGTATCATATGCCCAGTGGACGTGAAAATGTGTCTCCCTGGAGTTGATGGGAACCCCGTGATGGCCCTTATGCGGCTATGATGGTGTCCAGTGGCCAAGGCAATGGTAGAAACCCCAACTCTTTGCCTTTCGTTGGCTGGTAAGATGTAGGGTGGAAAGAGAAGGTAGAAAAGTGCTTTTGAGTCTGATTGCCAACATGGGTTAGCCTGGATTAGCCTGGGCTAGTTCAGGATCTACCTGGCAGTGAAATGGATGTACCAGGGATGATTATGATCACATGGCAACTGAGTCACTGTGCTTTTGCTTTTGCAATTTGCTCTAACAGGCCTCGACTGGGGAGGGGAGGGGTAGAGTTCACCTCTGGAGTTAATGTGTATGGTAAGCAAAACCCTGCTCTGGGTCCTACTTGGACCTTTACTGATTCCGGCTGTCACTGATGGCCCTGTTGGCCAGCGGATCAAAATTACGACTGGTCTCATCGCAGATCTTGGCGGGCCTGGGTTCTGTGGCAAAGCAGCTGCTCTCTCTGGTCTGTTTGGTGATAACCAGCCTGGATGAGCCTTTGATGCGTGGCTAGAGCAGCATCTTGGCCTGCGTGGTGCTGGGGCAGCAGGAGAGTAGGGGCTTCAACCAGCACAAACCAAGCCCAACCTGCTTGGCTCTGTGCTCTGCAGGAAGGAAGGCGTTCAAACAAGGTCCCAGCTCCGTAATACTTCATTCATCTAGGGTGGAAGAAACTTAAAGGCCATCTCAGCAAAGCTCTTTCTTCCCTTTAAAGAGATGCCTGGCTTTTGCTGAAGAGCTGCTGAGACAGAAAGCTCATCTCTGGCAGATAGCAAGTCCTCTCTTACAGCTATGAAGTTTCACCCATTGGTCCTCGTTCCGCTCATAGGAGTGATCCAGGACTAGCAAACTGTGCTTGAATTTATCTAACGATCTGCAGGCCTATGGAGGGTATGGGCACTGGTATTCTGCCTAACTCTTCAGAAGTCTGATCTGACCTGGGATGTCACCCCTTGGCCCTCTGAGCCTCCAGACTGCCCTGGAGGCTTTGGTCCAAAGAACAGCCTACATCATTAATCTTCCATGGGAGAGATAGGTGCACGGTGGGCACTGAGAGTTTGTTGGACCATCTCGAAGGGGGCCCACTGCTTTGTATTCATAAGCCCAAAGGCACAGAAGTATGTGTACAGGAACTCAACTTTGCGGTTTTGGCAGGTTGCTTCGTAATCCCTTTCCTCCCCCAAATCTAAGCATCCCACTCACCAAGGAACCATAAAGTATAGTAATTACCCTGAGCTCCAGGCTTTCATACCAATACCTTCCTGACCAATACTCTAAGGACCGCAGACCCTAACTCTCTGAACATTTCAACCAGGGATCAGGGTCCAAATCCCACTGCTCAGAGCAGCTCTCAGACACCTACGGAAACTCCATGGTAACCCTGCCCCAGCAGCTTTACTCTACAGTATGCCCATGCTGAGTCCTACATCTTTGTGTCAACGGCAGTGACTAGCCCAACCTCTTAGATAACCAGGATGCTAAGCCTGGGGTCTACCATTATGGGTGCTGACCCCACCTCTTGGGGACCTAACATTCTTGGGTGGATTTGAGGGGGTGAATGTGGCCTCTTTGATGACCTTTTTCCACCTCTTCTGGAGGCAGGCAGGAGGGATGCAAGAGATGGTCTTGGTACCTACAAGAGCGTTGTACAGCCAGCCAGTGTGACGCAAAAGTCTATGTCTGGTTACCAGTAAACCAGAAGAGAGTCTGTTCATGTGCATAAGTATGGCTTAGACATCTCTCTGTGCTTCTGAGGATCATACCCATGACTCTGAAAAACTGGAGCCTCCTCCACTGTCTGCCACTGACTTCTCTCCTTGCTGTTCAGACAGTGTATGACCTCAAAGGCAGATCCTGGATAGATGGAAGCCAAGGCCTTGCATTTTATCACTGCTAGGCACGTCTCTGTTGAAAACCTCCAACACGGAACCCTTGCATGGGGATATAGGAACAAGGCTGAGCCTCAGCTGGTTCCCCCTATGCTGGATTCATATTACTTATGTCCCTGTTTTATTTGGCTGTGATTTGGAGCTGGCATCGTGGGCTGAGAAGGAGCTCAGACTAGTTAGATGACGGGGAAGGCATGTCAGGGCTTGGAGATGCACGGCCACCATGTGACTCATGTCTCATCTTCTGCCCTGCAGCTTGGGTTGACCAGCTGTCCCCCGGGATCCCGGCCCAGCACAATGTGTTGGCCTTATGGTTTAGAATTAGCATCGTGGTCATCTTACCGACAGGCTCACCCGTGTTTTCCATGGCATTACTCCTGACTCAACTTGGTGCTGATGGCCTCTCTGTCCAGCCCAGGAGAGGCCAGATGCAGGCTAAGTGAAGGGGGTTTTCTTCATCCCCTGTGAGGTACAGGGGAGCTGCCCTCTCCTTCAGTGTCCCTGGATCTGGGCTGGGCAGTTACTCCTGCAAAGATGACATGATGAGCCTCTTTTTGCTCCTCCCTGGGCCTCACTTCTCTCTGCAGCATCCTTGCTAGACTGAACACCTCTGTGCACACAACAGGGGTTCACACCACAACTGTGTGGATCGCAGTGAGGACACACACCAGGGATTCACACCAGAATTGAGGAAATGTGGATCATGGTGAGGCGACACACCAGGAGCTAGCTTACCAACGGGGAACCAATGATGGATAAACGTGATTGGTCAGAGGGAAAGATTATCATCTTTTCTCCAAGATACTGAGACACATTCTAAAGCAACACCTTTGTTCCAAGTGGTTCTGGCCAGTCCCTCTCCGTCCCCCATCCTACTGTGTCACAGAAGTGACCACTTTGCCCAGTAGACCATATGCAACCTTGGTTCTGAGGAGTCCCGTCGGGTCCTAACTTCTTGGCTTTGCCTTCCTGTTTTCCTACCCAAAGCTCTCCCAATCTACTTACCCCTTCTACCTGGCCGAGGCTCCTCTTTCTACATCTTTTCCCACTAATTGGTTGGTTGGCCCAACATTCTACAGCCAAGAAATGGCTGGGTTGGATTAGAACCAGAGACTGGGTCCTTCCTATCACAACCCCATGTCTCACCAAGGGATGGACTGTGCCATAGTAAACTGAGCTTCCTGATGGCAGCCCCTCCAGGGCCCTGCATGTTGTAAGAACCCAGTGAGTATGTGGGGTTGAAGTAAAGTGACGAGGCTTCCAGCCCCCAGCCCCTCATGTGAAGTGTGCCCTCAGATTGGCCCACATTAGCAACCATATGACCCTACCTAGACTAAGGGCACCACCTTTTAGAGGCCCCAGCATTCAGGAATCTGCTGAGTAAGGCTGTGTTCATCACCTCCTTTCCCTTTAGGGTTTTATGCGCTCAGCCGTCGCCACTCCAGATGGGCATGTCCTTGTAATTCTAGTAGATTTCAATGGCTTTTTTCCAGTATCCAACTTAAGAAGACTTGAGTTGAGATCAACCCATGAACAGTGAGGTCAGGGTACCCCCATACCATAGGATCTGCTAAGGGGAAGGTGAGCTGCACTTGAGTCTAGAATTGGCCTCAGGAGGAGGCAGCATGGCCAGGCATTGTGCCTCTTAGACTAGGCTGGAATTCCCTAGGGTCCATCATAGTGAGTTGAAGGGATCAAAGCCACATGAGGGACCAGGGCACACGTGGTTAAAAAAATATTTATGCACTTCTATGAAAACAAATCAGGCTAAATTAGAGAAGAATGCAAATATTATGTGAATTGCTAGACATGAAACTGAAGGAATTTTAAGCTGACCATTGTCTGCTTTGGGCTTTACAAGATCCATTGGGCCTGTTTCACTCTAGTCTTTGCTGTTACAGGTAGCCCCCCCCCATGGGAAAATCTGAGACATGGGAAAATATTGTCTTTGAAGTCAAAAGAACCAGTTTAAATCCTGGCTCCCTCCTTTACTAGCTGTGGTGGAACTGTGGGCAAACGATTTCACCCCTCTGAACCTCAGTCTCCTCGTCTATAAAATGGTGACAATTAGAAGCACTTCTTAGGAATGCTGGAAGAATTCGGTGAGCTCACATTTAGAGTCTCCAGCACAGGGTCTGCTGGTTGCACGGGAAGGCTGACATCTGGCAGGCAGGCCACTGCCCGGGCTACATCCAGAGAGACAGTGTAAAAGCAAGCTGATCCCTTCTGCTCCCACAAAGGGAGGCATGCTGTAGCCATCTAGAGGCTCAGAGCCCCCTGGCCCCAGGACCTTCGTACCAGAAAGGAGGAGAGAACAACGTGTTAGGATGCAGCTAGGATACATCCCGAAGATGTCTAGGCCAGAAATGCAGTCAGGTGGGGACAGTACCTGGCTTCTCGTTAATTCCTTGCATCTTCTCCAAACAGGGTCCACATCTAGGAGGTGAGAGCCATGAGGCTTCGTGCTAAGTGAGGGGACTCTCTTGGGCAGCCCAGAGACAGGAGGCTGGCCCCTGTCATGGAGACCCAGAGACCATGAGTTCCACTTCCCTCTGCATCATGAACGGTGAGCCTGCCCTGTGTGTAGAGTATCCCGGGGGAGGTGCTGTTTGCCCATGAGCTTTCCTGGGATCGAGTCCAAATTCCCGGGCACCAGCGCCCCGTCTCATCTATGTCCTCCCACATTCTTGCCACGTGGGATCTTGGGGAAAGCATCCCCATCCGCGAGCCTCAGTGTCTTCCAGTGTAAACTGGCTGAAGACTGTTCACTGCCCTGCATCCTCTGGAGGGTGGTTGGGTTGTGAGAAAATGACGGGGGCCGGTGGTGCTGAGCTGGGGGAACCATCACTGGCCCTTGTTGGGTTACCCAGCATGGCCTGAGTTTTCATTCTAAATTCCTTCTCCCCAAAGTCACATTCTAAATTCCTACCATCTGAAATGATAGAAACCACTGTCATTTTCATCTGCCAGCTATCTTGCCCCCTCCTGAGCAGAGTAAATCCTAGGGTTTCTTTGTGTTTGTTAGAGAGCACAACCCTCTCCCAGCCCCCATTCTGTACGGATGAGCCCAGATCTGAGAGAGGAGCATATAGCTAGCTGGCTGATCTGCTATGTCACACGCTCCTTGAAGGCCAAGACTAGAGCCAGGGGAGGCCAGCAGGGGGCCAGGGCCTGGGGACCAGGAAAAGGGACCATGAAAGGGGAAGAGCAAGTCTGTGGTGGGGCTCCTCCGCCTTCCTTTGCTTTGAGATGCTTCCTCTTGAACCTCCAAAGTGACAGCCCTTCCTTGATCGAGTCTGGTGTCCCTGGACTTCCAGACAGTTCCAGAGCCCATGCTGACGGGAACAGCTTCTGTGGGCTCCTTCCATGTCCCGTCCTCATGGGCCCAGGGGTCTGGCTTGGTCACCCTGCTTCGTGGCAGAGCAGAGACCCTGAGTTTCTCACAGAAGCTGCGTCTCCTGATCCAGCAACAAAACAATGAGCAGACAGACAAATAGATGTGATATTAAAAAGTATACGCTTAAGGGACCATTTTCACAGTGTCTGATGAAAGGAAAGAGGCAGCCCCACTGGCCCCAGAGGGAGCCTCCTCTAGCACTGAGCTGAGCACATCACTCAAAGCCCCACTGCGTCCTTCTTGCCCACAGGGGCCAAGTCTGCCCTGCTGGTGGAGCATCTGCCCCCTGACCCTGGCTCACCTCCTGCCATGTTCTGCTCCCGTTGAGCTGATCTCCTGCCATCTCACCGCAACCACCCACCCCCACCCCCGCCAAGGATTTTGCACACCTCTTTGTCTTTGCACATGCTGATCCCTTGGCCTGAGTTTCCTTTTCTTCCTTTTTCTACCCAGTGGAATGGATGTCACCTCCTCTAGAAAGCTCTACGCTGAATCTCTCTTGCTGTGAGGCTCGTGTAACACTTGTCAGCTGCGCTGTGGTTCAGTTTTCCCAGGATACAGTAAGTTCTTTAGGGAGAACACTGTGCCTTATTGAATTCTGTGCTTCTCATGGCCGCTCTGGAGCTAGACCAGCCTTCAAGATGAAGCTTCCTGGATCCCAGGCCACCCGGGGGCTGCCAGGTACTGTACCAAAGCACCAGCTAGAGACCAAGGTAGAGTGTCCCTGGCTGGCAGACCTCACCGCCTGAGGGCACAGGGAATTGTTTTCACTGGCTAAGAAAGGAGATGGGACTAGCTTTCCTGGGGAGCTGGGAATGAGTTGCTAAACTATATCTGAAATTCTGAGCTTCTCAGAAAAATTGGCATAGGAAAGAAAGAATTAAATTCCCATTTGTGGAGTTCTCTGCTCAGAAATTTCTGGCCTTATTTTCCGTCCATATAGTAATTGCTTGGCTGAGAAAGGATGAAGAAAACATTACAAATAAGTCTCATCACTATTACCTGCCTTTTGGAAACCAGAATATCATGACTGCGGAAGACGCCTCAGTGTCTTCGGTTGTAAAATAAGGATGATAACAGGTGAATAGCTCTCTCAGGGAGGGCGGGGGTGGGTTCTAAGAACTTGCCAAGCCTGGCATATAAGAAGTACTTAGCCAATGCTGGCGCCTCTGTCACTGACTGACCCATACTTTGGGCAAGAGTCTAGACTCCCCAGGTCTGATCCCCTTGTCCTATTTTAAACCGAAGTATAGCTGGGTGCATTTTCTGAGATGGCAGCTGAGTTTCTCTAGGAAGGTGTTCAAATTTGGAGATCCGAGGTTATGCTGGTACTCTATCTGCCCCAAAGGCCAAAAGGGACTGTCTTCAGACTATCTCTCCCTTGCTCAGTGGCTGTGCTGTCCCTGGCTGGGACCTTTTGAGGACATTTCCAGGAGAGATGATAACAGGCCCCAGAGATTTGTCTTATAGCTACACAACCAAACGTCCCTCCCACCTTTTTTTGATATGAGACTAAGAAAGATCTTACACCCTCCAAAAGAAAGTTTCTTTACACGTACACTTTGGAAAATCATCAAATCTTAACTTGTTCATCCCTCCCAAAGGAGCCACCGCCCAAGACACACAGGGTCAGCCAGAGCCGTGCCCCAGGGAGGCAGTCCTTCTTCACAGACACAAGGAGCAGCAGCAAAGTCCCCTGCAGTTCTGCCCCACCCCACTGACCACAAAAACGCAAAGCAGACCTTTGTCCAGGACTGCCGCGGACACAGCGGACTGGCCAGTGAATGACAGAAGGTCAGGGCCTGGGCTGGGGGACGAGTACACAATGGTGGTGGGTCAAGCCCCATGCAGGTTAGTTGGGAGGATGGGGGCCTCTGCTGTGGTCTCGGGAGCATCCTGAAGTCCCAGTGATCCAGAGGTCCCTGAAGGAGACGGCAGCAGAGCCCGGTCATATTCACGACCCCGTGGAGGAGGAAAGCACACATCCCCCCACTGCCCAGAGGACGCAGGGCAGAGGACGTGCTGCCAGGCCTGTCACTCCCCTGTACCCACACAGTCAGCTTGCCTCGAGATTCACAAACCTGAAAAGAGCAAAAGGAAGAGGTCTGGGCACTGAAAAATCCGGGCCTTGCTATACAGGTGCACTTCTGTATGGGCCCGTGCCTGAGGCTGGAAAAGAAGCCTGGGCCTTTCAGGGCGGCGTCCTCCACAGCAACTGGAGACTCCTCTGAAGGTACAGAGCCCACCGTGGACCACAGGACCACCAGTCTTCTCCTTGGAGTTGGGCAGGGTGCCACCGCTTAGCCCCTGAGCCCAGTCGCTGCCATTCACAGAAAAGGGGGCTTGGCTGCAGCAGCCTCTGGACTCTGGCAGGTTCTCCATGCCATTGGGCTAAAAGGAGCTTAAATATTCCAGTGCCACCTCGTATACAAATTTATACTGTTCCTGAGAGGAGGAGAGGCAGAGAGGGAGAAGAGAAGATGAAAGGGAAAGGGAAAATGCATTTAGTTTAGAGATACAGATTATGGAGGAAACATTATCTATGTCTATACTAACAGTCAATTCAAAATTGTCCACGCAGATTCAGATTCAATAGATCTGGAGTGGGGCTCAAGGGTCTGCATTTCGGGCTTCCCTGGTGGTGCAGTGGTTGAGAGTCTGCCTGCCGATGCAGGGGACGCGGGTTCGTGCCCCGGTCCGGGAAGATCCCGGAAGATCCCACATGCTGCAGAGCGGTTGGGCCCATGAGCCATGGCCGCTGAGCCTGCGCGTCCGGAGCCTGTGCTCCGCAACGGGAGAGGCCACAGCAGTGAGAGGCCTGCGTACCGCAAGAAAAAAAGAGTCTGCATTTCTACCGGGCTCCCGTGTGACACTACTGCTGCTGCTGGTCTGTGGACCAGACTTGGAGTAGGCCTTCACTTTGGGTAAGACCACACTTAGCACAGACTTTAAGACTCATTAAAGTTCCCTGTGTATGGTATGTCTCCATCTCTGCACCAGGTCTTTCTTAACATCTGGAGCTCTGCCCCCAGTCTCTTCCTATCCCTTGCTTCACAGTGTCCTAGCCCATTGCTTTATATGATAAAAATGAGCATAAATTAATTAGAATGGGACTGGACTGAGTCAAAAACCTAATTCACATGCTACTAATCCAGAATCCCTTCCCCTAAGCCAGAATCAGTGACACTTTCCCACAGAGTGGAAAGAGTAAAACAATGCAGCATGTGCCAAGATGAATGTCTGGACTCTCTGCAGAAGAGAAGATGGTGAGGCTGGAGGGAGGAAGCAGGTAACTGTGTGCGAAGGGCAGTGACTGCAGGTGCTCAGGAAGCATCCGGCTGTTGAGTGTTTTTACTCTGATGCTATTTTCTTCAGGTCAAGGGAACTACGGTCAGCCCCTGGCTACTGGAGAACAGTTCTCGGGACACTCACCAGGGTCTCCACCATGTTGGACTTGTTGTTACGTAATGTTTTCACGATGTGGAACACATCGATGATGTTTTGCTGCTGGATCATCTCACACACGCTGCAGACAGCACAGAAGGTTCCGCTGCGGCCTCCCCCATTTCTAAACACACAGCAAAAAGGTGAGCGAGACTCCTGGGTACCCCTCAGGCACCTGCTCTGGGTCCACCTACACATCCAGTGAAGACAGCGGAAGGTTGCGTGTGTTTTTATTCCTAGTTCCTTCCATCCGCTGAGGACAGCAGTACCAGAGACACCTTTGTTAGCTGGGGTCAGCCAGCCTAGGTTTTGGGTGGGGCTGCCGAAAAGACGCATCTCTATTTATACACCCTAGTTTAAGCAAGACCCTACTCACCTGGAAAATAGGGAAAGGGGGCTCTTGGCAGGGTCATCCCTCTGTCACACTTGCTTTCTGATGTGCCATAAGTCATCTTCATAGAAACACCCCTCCAACTCTTTACAGAAAATCTCTTTAGGAATCTGCCAGATTTGGAACTCCTGGGCGTACTGCCAAGATCAACTAATGATGTCATGTAATGGTCTGTGTCTAGAGAACATCTGGATGGAAAACTAAGTCACTGAATCTACCTCCCAGATGTTTTATCCACAGGACACCCAACGACCAGATGTTTCAAGTACAGACAGTTGCCTTCCATTCACTGGCCAGTGCCTGCATTTCAGTGTCTGTTTTGGTGTCTCTGCCCTCCAAGGATGCCAAAGTCTCTGTTGACAGAAGGACACCCCTGTGCTTTCCTACAGCTCAAACTGCTGGTCACCTCGGCAAGGGAAGACACGAATAAAAGGTACTCCTGCAAAAAAACAGGCTAAAAAACAATCGCATGGGAAAGAGTAGGAAGGGCCCCCTATCCACCCCTCCCTTAAGCTCTCCGATTTTCCTGACATCTGTGCACCACATGAAAGAGGGGGCACGATAAGCCGGTTTTGAAATGACTGAACTCAATTCCAGGGTAAGATGTTATTAATGCCTCCACCTGCTCCAGAAATATTACTCTGAAAAAGGGAAGACTTTGATTCAACTTCCTTTTTAAAGAGTGAGGCCCTCTCCATCACTTCTCCCCAAATCATTTTAAGTTCTAAGAAGCAAGTGAATGATTGGGAATCAGCTATTGCACACATAGCTTTATGGCTGCAATCCCAGTCCATTAAAAGGGCTGTAATGCCTTGACTACACTCCTATTGGCCTGTAAGGATGTGGTATGGCCAGGCATGCCTAGGACTGGTATTTGTGGCCAGCGGCATCCTCAAGGATGTCCCATTACCCACCACCCAGTTGCCCTGGAGACCCCTCCATCATACTCACAGGCAGTGGACCACAGTGCGTCCCTCCCTCCCATCGTACTGCTCCTGCCACTTCTCCAGCCGTCGGACCACTTTGAGCAGAGAGCGCTTGGAGGGGGGTGTGTCCCGGTAGGCAGGCCAGCCAATGTACTGGAGGTGCTGGACTATACGATATCCATCCTGTGGCTGAGAAGAGAGAGGCTATTAGGGCTGTTCTGCTGGGGATGCTTAGGGATGCAGGCCCTCCAGATACCCTGGAGGCTACAGCATTGCAGTGGAAGATAGAATAAATGGGGTCTACGCTATAATGTCCTCATGGGGAGAGTCACACACTATCCCCATACCCACCTCTACACCTCTGTGCACATTGATTCTCCTGCCATGACTGCTCTGCATCCCTCCTCTACCTGAAAAACTTCTACTCAGTCCTCAAAACCCAATTCAAATGCCCCTTTCTCTAGGAAAGCCTTCTCTGAATACTGGGCAGGATTCTTCTCCCTTTCTGCAGTTCATGAGCCAAAACACATCTCGCTTTCCCATTAGATAGCGAATTCTGAGGGCAGGGACTCAATCCTGTTCACCACGAGCCCCCAGTAAAGACCAAGGTCACTTTAGTTAGCCACCATTTCATAGATCACTCATCTGTTCCCAGGGACTCAATCCTGTTCACCACGAGCCCCCAGTAAAGACCAAGGTCACTTTAGTTAGCCACCATTTCAGAGATCACTCATCTGTTCCCTCCCACCCAATACTACTCCACCCAGCAGTGAAATTCCTCATGGAAGCAACTTACTATTTTCCATCTTGGTGTTCCCACCATCTAGCCCAAAGCTTACTGGATCCAATCAAAGGCTGCATCAACTCATGCCGAAACAGCGTGACACAGGGAAGCGCTACATTCTGAGATTTTGTGTCTACATGGCAGCAAGTGTGTCAGGAAACAGGCAGGTGGCAGGCTGGATGTTCTCCTATGTGTCTCTGTGTGTGGGAGCCATTGCTGGGTCTGGAGCCGGAATTGGCAAAGGCATCACTTCCCCAAGGACGAGATGAACAGGAGAGGACAGCACAGACTCCTGGCTGGCCTGCGGGGTCCTCTCCCGGCAGCTTCCATCTGTTTTGGGAAGGAGGAGTCTGGGAAGCAGCGGCAGCCGTACACTTACCCGAGCCATGTTACAGATGCGGAATATTCTGTGGATGATGTCCTCATCGATGTCTGCGGAGACGAATTCCACCTGGATGGGCCCGTAGCACCCCGAGGTCTTCTCAGGCCAGTACTGCATACAGAGCTGAGGTAAGGAAAGGGGTCACAGAAAAAGGCTAAGGTCAGGGGCCGGGGGCATTGGTTTCATTTATCATGAAACCTTTCTTACTGCCTGCAGGACACATTGGCTAGAAAGGTAAGAGTATTATGTAGGAAATTAGGCTCAGCTTTCCTGTTGGGGAACAGCTACCCATTTTCCTGGTTGTTGAAAAGTCAGAGCTCTGAGCACAGAAACACTGGGCTTAAACATCTTTGCTGTGCTGATTTCAAACCATTCGTTAGGCTTGCTGGGCCTCAGTTTTCCCCATCTGTAAAATGGGGGAAATACTGTCTACCTTGTGCTGCTGTAAGGGTTAGATAGAACACTCTGAGGAAGGGCAACTACAATCTTTACTTCAACACAAATCATAGCAACTTTCCCCCATTCTAGAAAACCTTCACGGTGTTTATTTCATCATCAGATCATGAGTAGTTTTAAAAAATACATAGGTTTTGGCATCAGACAGGCTTGGGTTCAAATCCAGTCTCTGCTGCTTACTAGCTGTGCCATCCAGGCCTCAGTTTCTCCTGTGTAAAATGGGGCTAATTATGCTTACCTTGCACCAAAAGATAATGTAACATGGTATTGAGAGGTCTTGCCTATTACCTTTTCTATTTTTTTGGAATTAGAAATTAGAACCTACAGCTGAGAGCAAAAGGCAGTGGTTGCTTTTCAACCTAAGACAATGCTTCTCAGCAGAGGTTGCTTTGTCACCCAGGGGACATGTGGCAATTCTAGAGACATTTTTGATGATCACAGGTGGGGGCTGCTATGGGCATCTAGTGGGTAGAGGCCAGGATGCTGCTAAATATCCTACAATGCACGTGACGGCCCCCCTGAGAGGAATCTGGCCCCAGTTCTCAATGGTGCAGAGACTAAGAAAGCCTGGTCTAAGATCCTAAATCGTCCCTTAAGTTTATAGTGTCGTCAAGAGTGAGAGACAGATACTTTATGCCCCGTATCTGTTGAGTCACTAGGTGACTATAGTTGGGGAAAGAAATATTAAGGTAGGTGGCACAGGTTGTGGCTCAGAGTAAGGCAAAGCATGCTTCCTCAACTCCTGGTTCCCAAGGGGCGTGGAGATGGACACCGTCCGGGGGCAAGGAGGAGAGCTAAGGTTGAGGCTGCAGGCTCGCTGGGACCACCCCAGCATGGATCAAGAGGCCGCGTGTTAGAAAGCCGTTTCACCTGGGGGTTTCCCGGAAGATGTAGCTGAGACCCACCAAAGCTTCTGCAATCCTGGCATCTCAGTGGGGTCTGCCACAGCCTATGCTCAGCTTGTAGACAAGGAACTAGATGGACAGAGGCTACCCATGGCAATCCGGCGGCCTCCTCATAACCACCACGGATGCAGGATTTTCAGGAACGTGATCGCTTTCCCTTGCATTGAGAGAACAGCCAACTCACCCTGGGTAGTCACATGCGAAGACTTTTTTGATTCTATCCTTCCTCCAGAACTAGAGGCAGAATGGACAAGCAGGGAGGAGGGAGACCGTAGGAGAGAAAAGCACACATCTCCCACCTTCCTAGCTGTGGAACCTAAACTCCAGCTTAGGGATAACATTTGTTCACATTATGGCCCACTGGCCAAACCTGGTCAGCCGTCTGATTCTGTAAATAAAGCTTTATTGAAATCTAGCTATATTAGCCATTTACATACTTTCTGTGGTTGCCTTCAAGCTATAACGGCAGGTTTGAGTAGTTGTGACAGAGACCACACAGCCTGCAAAACCTAAAGTATTTCCTATCTGGTTCTTTCTGCAGAGAAGGTTGGCCAACTCTTGTCCTATAGGGCTGTTCTAAGGATAAAAAGAGAACACGCGGGAAGAAAGCCCTTAGCAGAGTGCCAGCATCCACTATATTCCAGCGATTCATATCATTCTTGAACCCTCTAGGTGCTGAACAAAAATAACAACAATAATGATAATGGCTAACATATAAATTTGAAGAATTCTTCCTGTTATCACCCGTCTTAAATAGCAAAGGTAAGCAAGATTAAGTTTCATGATGCAATGGTGCCTTGCTTTCCGTGTGTGTGTGTGTGGGGGGAGTGCTGGTCACAGCGGTCTCTGTGGCTGGACAGTCATCTGCTGAGCTGTGCAGTAATGACAAATCCACAACTTGAACTTCATTTCTCTTTGCCATTGGCTCTTCTGACCTGCAACCTTCACAGTAATGAGGGACCAGGATAGATAAGTCTGTGGCGGGCTAGAGAAATCAGAATTAATCAGAACTGCCAATTTAAAAAAAATAATTGCCTTCATTACCTGCATTGAATCATGCCTTGCCAGAGGTTGGCTCTGATCCTGACATGAGGTACATGGGTCCAAGGCATCAAGGAAAGTCTATTATCCCCAATATTTTCAGTCTGGAGAGAATGTGGAACGATTCGTCTCTTTTAATAAGATTTCCAGACCAATTTCTCAAGCTAATAGGTTCTACTCTGCCTCAAACAAGACTCCTTTATTTTGGGACACTTCTCTGCATTTGATTTTCCAGGTCGCTCTCCATCATGTCCAGAGGGCTGGGAAAGGTTGCAGGGGTCCTTCTAATCCTACATCAGAGCCAGCCTTTCACTTGAGTTCCCTAATCCGTGAGACGACATCAGCAATGGTCTGGGTGACATTCAGCCGGGTAACGTGTGGGCAGATGTGGTATTTCAGCTGCCATGGATCATCAGGGTCTGCCCCCAGGCCAGGATGCTGCACATAATCTAGCCATGGGAAATGGAAGAGAGAATGGGGGAAGCGCATGCTCTGTTCCTGGTGACCCTCTGGGGCTCGGAAATAATTCTCATCAATAAGAAATGTCCTCTAAGGTTTAGCTCAAGACTGTCCTGGTGTCCAAGTGCTGGGGTTGTGCCTCAGTGGGTACCACCACTTTGGCCCATGTATGCAGCTTAGCAAAAGATAATGGGGCTCCTGCTTGAAGCGCCCTGGGCTCAAATCCCAGCCCTGTCACTCCCTAGCTGAGTGACTTGGTCAAATCTCTTAGCTTCTCTGGGTTAAGTGATGAGTGGCTGTGAATCTGAATGTGTCTACTTAGCACAGGAGTCTGTAGCTAGTAAGTACTCCATAAATGTAAGCTATAATTATTTGGCAGTGTGGGAGAGGGTCACTCAAAACAAGGTAGATAAAGTGAAGGGTCTTTCTTTTTCCCTCTACTTAGCAGCCCATATGAAAATTTCCCTTTAGGATAATAATAAATACCCAAAGGACTGCCCTTGTGAAAATTCCTGGTCAGCCAGCCTGACAGCGCAGTGGGGACAGGTGCCACCTGTGATATGGGGACACTGTTCTGCATGTCAGAGGAGAGAGGCCTGTGGGTTGTTCTTGAAAGGGACCTAGGAGATGGAAGAGGGAAAGTAGGAGCATAAGGGAATCAGTGAAAGGGCTGAGGGTGAATCAGTGTGTCATGTGAGCCCCCCTCTCCTAAACTCCTAAATATTAAGCAAATTTATAATAACAAACACGGACAATGCTCTGTGTGCATGGGGGTTTCTTGTGGAAGCTGGTGAGGAACTGAGCTTTGCTCCCTTGGTGACTTACGTGGTCTCAGCTCCACTTCTATGTGAACTGAAGGGCCAGACCATGAGCACATAAGCATCGACAGTTTATACGAGAGCCACCAAGATGGTAGAGTAGAAAGACCCAGAGCTCACCTCCTCCTATGAGCACACCAAAATCACAACTATCTACAACAACCATCGGTGAAGAAGACTGGAATCTACCACCAGAAGATCTGCAATTAAAGACATAAAGCAGGAACCACAAAGAGACAGGAGGGGCAAACCCACAACATAGTCAAATCCCATCCCCCTGGGTGGGCGACCCACAAACTACAGAATAATTACATTACAGAGGTTCTCTCACAGGACTGAGAGTTCTGAGCCCCCCGTTGGGCTCCCCAGCCTGGGGGGTCTGGTACTGGGAAAATGATCCCCCAGAGCATTTGGCTTTGAAGGCCAGTGGGACTTGATTTCGGGAGTCCCACAGGACTGGAGGAAATAGAGACTTCACTCTTAAAGGGTACACACAAAATCTCACACTCACTGGGGCCCAGGGCAAAAGCAGTAATTTGATAGCCTGGGCCAGACCTACCTGCTGGTCTTGGAGAGCCTCCCGGAGAGATGGGGATGGCTGTGGCTCACCCTGGGGCCATAGACACTGGTGGCAGCCATATTTGGGAACATTCTACCATGTGAACACTGCTGGTGGTGGCTGCCATCCTGGCTCATCAACCCCACCCAAAAGCCTAGAGGCGCAAGTGCTGGGATGCCTCAGGCTAAGTAACTAACTGGGCAAGGACACAGCCCCACCCATCAGCAGACAGGCTGCCTAAAGACTTCATGAACCCACAGTCACCTCTAGAAAAGCCCCTAGCCATGGCCTGCCCACCAGAGGGCCAAGACCCAACTCCACCTCCCAGTGCGGAGGCATAGGCCCTTCCCTTCAGGAAGCCCACATTAGCCTCTAGACCAGCCTCACCCACCAGGGGGCAAACACCAGATGCAAGAAAACTATGATCCCACAGCCTGCAGACCCAGCCCCACCCACAGTAGGCAAGAGCCTACCCCTGGGACCAGCTGGGCCCTGGCCACTAGCAGGCCAACACAAGCTCTGAGATACCCCAGACCCCATACCCAACTGTGTCAGGAATTGCCCCCCTCCAACCTGAAATGAGCTCAGGGATCCCTGGGCCCTGCAGCCAGACTCCAGGAACTGGCTCTGCTTGCCTGGCACTAACCCCTGAACCTGGCTTTACCTGCCAGGGGATCAGCAACAGCCCAAGAGCCTGCGGGACCCTGACTCCGGACACCAGTGAGCCAGCACTAGCCCTGGGACACCCCTAGGGTTCTGCAGCCAGTGCCTTGTGACCAGGCCACACTAGCTAGCAGCCAACAGCATCTGTACAAGGCAGAGCTTGGCAACCAACTGGGCCAGGGGCCAACCAAGCCTACCAGACTGCCCACATACGCCGCCACA